GGCCTGCGCGTCCGGAGCCTGTGCTCCGCAATGGGGGAGGCCACGACAGTGAGAGGCCCGCATACCGCAAAAAAAAAAAAAAAAAAAAAAAAATGTCCTCAGGGAAGTGAGTTTTTTCCCTGTTTTTTTTTTTTTTTTTTGGGCCGCACTGCACGGCATGCAAGATCTTTTAGTTCCCCAACCAGGGATCGTACCCGCTGCCTCTGTGGTGGAAGTGAGGAGTCTTAACCACTGGACCGCCAGGGAAGTCCCGTCCCTTTTCTTATAGATATTTCCAAAATCGTACAACATCTAGATATGCTGCAGAATTTTAGAAGCTTGTTGCTGAATGTCAGGACAGCATTAACTATCCAGAAGTTGGCAAAAGGCTCACTTTTGAGTTTGAGTGAATCTCCCTTCAAGAAACCAAACTTAGAAAACATTTGTTTCAGTGTGTCATGATATATATTATAAAAAGGACTATTTTCTTCACAAAAGGGAGATTGCTGAGGGTACGGTAAGAGGTGGTTAAAGTGCAGTCTTTTTTATTAGCAGGGCTGTCGCTCAGATATTCTGGGGTAGAATATCTGAGTGGACTGCCATTCTAGGGAGACAGATTTGGTAAGATTTTTAAGAATGCTGAAGCCATCAGGATAGCATTTTTTTTTCCACTAGAAAAATTGGATTTTTTATTTAAAAATATTTTCAAAGGCTAATGCCATAGTGGAACAACCAAAGGATAGTTGAACCAAATTCTCAGGGCATTAGAGGAGCACCTGCCAATGCAAGCTCATGATTCGCCGCCAGGAGACCCTCTGTTGGAGACCTTGGGAAGGATCTCCTGCTTTGTAGGTAACTTGTCATCTGCCTTGCAGCTCTAGAATTCGCAGTTTTGAGTTTCCATAATCTACATCTGATATCTTACGATTTATTAAAACTTGCAACATGCATGTTGCATTTTTTGAGACCCACCTCTACTATTAGGACGCGTTTTGCTGTGTAGATTTTCCCCCCTAAACTCTAATGTATCAGAACAAATTTCAAAGTCTTTAAAAGGGATGTTTTCACTTTAACTACCCGACGGTTCTAAATTATCTGAAAACAGCTATAAGCCCTAGGCTGTGGGACATCAGGAACCGGAAGACAGAGCCGAGAAGCTGGAATGTAGTTTCTCTCCCAGGACCCAGCAGACTGTGCTGGCCTGGCCATCTGGACATGTGGGAGATATGGTGAAACACAGACAGAAGGCCACCGGGCCAGTTTTCACAAAGACTTGGACAGCGTTTTGCTGCTATCAGCCCGGGATGGCTCCTTCAAAGAGCTGCCTCTCTTTTGTAACTGCGGTTTTCTCTGCTGAACTCATTCCGCCCCCCTCCACCCAGTCTGCTTCTCCAGGGCCTCAGAGCGCCACGTCCATTCACTCACTTATGGAGCACCTGCTCTGTCCCAGTCCTGGGCTCAGGGCTGGGGCTGTAGTGACGAGCAAACGAGAGAGGTTTCCCTCTTCCCACAGCTGCAGACAGCTGGGCGAGGCACACATATCACACACGCAGTTTGTCACTGTAGGTCGTGCTGTGTGCTGTCAAGGGAGATACGAGCTTCGGTGGGGTGGGGAGCTGCTGCAGATGGGGTGAGGGGGACAGGGCTCAGACCACGCTGCACTGCAGGGTGAACCTGAAGCCGAGACCTAAAGGGCGAACTAAGTGTCCTAACGTGTAAAGCAGACACGCGTTAGCTAAGTTAAATACACAAACACACAGTGCTTTCACGGTGAATTTTGGTTCTGTATCCAAATTATGAGCAGTGTACTCTCTCCAAGCTTTTCTTGGCTATTCTAGAAATATGGTCTTTTCTGCCTGGATTCTTGGTCCTTACTTCAGTTTTCCTCAGGGCTGTCTCTATCACGGGTTTTTGGTCTTAATTTCTCCTTACTGCACTCGTTGCTATTGTGAGTAGCCTGGTGGGCCAGGTTAACCTGGGCTGGTCTTGGAATGTTCTCACCTAACTGTGGTCCATGGATCAGCCTGTCTGCTCATCCTCTCTGGATCCGCCCCGCGCACCACCAGGTGGAAGCTTCCAAATGAGGCTCCACCCTTCATCCAGTCTTACCACGCAGTCTCAGAGTGAGTGCTGTAGTGACAGCTGAAAATGTGGAAGAGGTGTTTAGAAAGAGCATGGGCTTCAGTGCCATTCCAATCTGAATTCAGGTCGTGGCTCTGATCTTAGATGTGTGTCCCGGTCAGGTTTATTTGATCTCTCCAAACCTCACTGTCATTACCTGGAAAATAATTTTTGTTGTGAGGATGAGAGATAATGTGTGCTAAGTGCGTGGTACGTGGCTGGCATTCAGTGAAAGCAGCCACCCCCTGGGTGAGCCGGAGGGAATAGAAAGGCTTCCGGTAATGTTGGAACAATAATAACTGGAGGTTGGAGAAAGTATACACGTGCTTTCTTCACCTTCTTTATGACTGTGATGGACTCTGATTTGCAGGCAGAAGACAAGGCAGACGTGCTGAATAAGGAGCTCCTCTTGACCAAACAGAGGCTGGTAGAGACTGAAGAAGAGAAGAGGAAACAAGAGGAGGAGACAGCTCAGGTAACAGGCGTAGGCGGGCTTGTCCTTACGCAGGTGTATTGGTACGCGGAGTTGATTAATACTATAAACGAGAAGTAACACGAAATTTGTTCAGATCAAGGGCGATGCTGAAGCAGTACATGTGAGTAGAATCGAGGCAGCATTTCCACCCTTGAACAGCTTTTAGGAATTTGCCTTGACTGAGACGTCTAGCAAGAGTGGTACGCTTTCTCCAAGTTTAGGAACTTGGAATTATTATCCAAGAGCTTTGAGGCCTCCGCAGAGTTCGTGTTGTATCTCCGAGATGTTTGACTTCTCTGAAGTGGTTTATGAGGATTGCTAAGCTGGAAGCCTACAGAGATCTCTGCAGGGAGCCACCTCCATCAGTCACGCTTCATTTTCCCGATCCATGCCTTAGAAGAAGGGGCACCCACGTTTCTGTTCCTGGCAGAGCTCTCAAATCTTCCCTGAGAGAATAAAAAGAAACCCTTTGGGAGCCAGCCCTGAGGTTAGCTCTCTACAGTATTCATATGGGTTTTGAGGCTGAGCAGCTGGAAGACACACCATTGCCAAGGACCCAGAGGTGACAGGAGGGACCTCTCCACCCTATAGGAGTCAAAGCTTCCGGCTTCCCTGAGGAAGGGCAGGCTGCTTCACCAATGGTCTCCATCTCTGTCCGTCCCAGCCAGGCATGATTAGCTCACTTATAATGAGTTCAGTTCAGAGACATCAATAATACTAAATATAAAACAGCACACAGAGCATTTCAAAGACCTACATCCGAGCAACCAGAAAAACTTCCAGTGAGGTTACTAATGAAGGGATGTGTCATTTAGCACCTTCCGGGATTTATAAAAAGTATTCCAGGATTTTTTTTTTTTAATGATGAAAGGAGTCTCGGCAATTACTGTGGACCAAGATTTTTGTTTTTCTTTAACATACTCAAAAATATTCGGGGGCCGATTATCCAGTTTGATCTAGCCCTTTGGATGGGTTTTGCTGTTTTCTTTACTTCCTGTTTTTTGGTGGCCCACTTCAGTACTTCAGGTAAAGAATGAAGCTGTTAGCAAATGAATTTAATCCATGCCCCTCTCCTCTGTGTGTGTGTGTGTGTGTGTGTGTGTGTGTGTGTGTGTGTGTGTGTGTGTTTATATGTGTGTATATCCTGTTTTAATTGTTGTGGTTCCCTTGTGAGATAGGGATTATTCTCATTTGTCAGATGAGTAAACTACAGCTTAGAGAAATTAAATGAACTTGCTCAAAGCATCTCAGCTATCTCAGTTGACCCTGAGTCAGTGCGGCCTTACTGCAGAAAGGACGAAGGGTATGGCTGAAGTCCTTGAATTATGTTAACAGAGAACAGAGACCAATATAAACAACTAAGTTTGAATCAGTATAACCTACAAATGCTCTTAGAATTTTAGAATGTAGCAAATATGAAGAACTTCCGAAATCTTGTAATGATAGGACCAGTTATAAATTGCAGTAACTTGTGTATTTACAAGTACCGAGTATACTCCATTCATAATTTGGGATGCGGCAAAGCAGAATTCATCAATTTTTTCTGACTGTGTACTTAAAGATTAACCAGAGTTGTTTTTTGTTTCGTCAGTGTGGGAGAATCGAATTCTTTCCTTTTTATCTGGGGGCACCTGAGCTTTTTCACTGCCTTAACCTTCTTCTATACCTAGAATTCTAGAGCTGCCAGGCTACAGAAATAACTGTGCTTTTAGGTTTAGCATTCATAATTTAGTATTTCTACAGTGTTGCTACTGTAACACGTACTGCATTATGTCACTTTAACTTCTTCTAAAGTCAGTGTTTCTTCAGTCCCCATCTCCCATGTCTGACTCCAGTCCCAAAACCCTCTTGATCCTACCTCCTGAGGGGTAACAGCAGTGTCGATACGGGATGAAAGAAGAAGCCCTAAAATGTTTTTTCAGTAATTTATTGCACAGCATCAAGAGTACATGCAATGCTGCCTTGATGTTTTGTTTTAGACTCTCATAAGGATAAAGATAGCTTCTGAACGGACACTTATTTAACAATATATTTATAAAGTAGTAAAAAGCATAAGCAGTTTTATACTAGGATTGCTCATATTCGTATACATTGCAGGAAAAAAAGTAAGATTTCTGTATCTCTGGAGATGATTAGGTTTTTCAAATGACCAACATGCAACTGCAGTAGGAAAAATGTGTGTACTTACAGTTGTTTACATTGTTGTTGACTATGAATCAGGCAGACTTGAATATGGATGTTCATGGAAATTTATTAAGATTTTGACTGAGTCTTGATGTTTCTCATTCTTACTCTTTTAGCTGAAAGAAGTCTTCAGGAAACAGCTAGAGAAGGCAGAATATGAAATAAAGAAGACTACAGCTATCATTGCCGAGTATAAACAGGTAATGTGCCATTGTGGGCTTCGACACTATAAAGCTAATTGTTTTGCTCTTTTCTTTGGGAAAGTTTGTTTGTTTCTAGAGTTTCCAGAACAGTAACTGTACTGCATTGATTATACTTGTTGGCTCATTTTCTCCTCTGAAACAGACAGTGGTTGGACCTGCTTGCTGATAACATGAGAAGTTTAATTGAGCAAAACAATCTCTTGGTTGTTTTCAATGTTTGATAGATTTAGAGGAACAAGAAATCTTATTACCATTGGGATCCTGTCTCTGCCTTACTCAGAAGCTAATTTCCAATAGATCACACTAGTAACATTTGCTTCTTGGCCGAGCACTAAAGTTTAGTCACTGTATTAAATGGCAACAGCTAAGAGATCCATGAGTCCTTTGCTGTCACAGTAGAGAACATGGGAGCTCTTTTTCCCATGTGGCTATATGGCCTTACCCAACAGAGGCCAGTGCTACCAGTTAACCTCCTCTTGTTAACCTTAAAAAGATCTTTTAATGGTGGGGCGGTGCTCTTCTCTTTGAGGACATTTCTAGTCCCATCGTGGGGGTGGGGGTGGGGGTGGTGGCGTGTCTCAGAAAAGCCTTCATTCCAGCTCCAGTAGTATCTTCTGTCCTTGCTGGTTATGCTGGGACATGGCAGAGACTCCTCTTGTTGCCGAAGTACTCTGGACTGTTCAAGTTCCAGTTTTCCAGAATTGTTAAGGTACTGTATGCCACCTACTTATCCAGAAATTTCCCTGGGGTCTTCTGCCTCACAGAGGAGTTTGAAGTCTAAGGCTTACTTTTTTTTTTTTTTTTTAAATTGAAGGATAGTTGATTTACAATGTTGTGTTAGTTTCTGGTGTACAACAAAGTGATTCAGTTATATATGTATACATTTTGCGGTACGCGGGCCTCTCACTGTTGCGGCCTCTCCCTGTTGCGGAGCACAGGCTCCGGACGCGCAGCCTCAGCGGCCGTGGCTCACGGGCCCAGCCGCTCCGCGGCATGTGGGATCTCTCCGGACCGGGGCACGAACCCGTGTCCCCTGCATTGGCAGGCGGACTCTCAACCACTGCACCACCAGGGAAGCTCTAAGGCTTACTTTTTTAAAAAGTGATTTTTGCTTATAAATGAAATTTACATTCCTTGTGGAAGTGCAGAAAAGCACAAGGAAAACAAACCTCCCTTAATCTTGCCAACTAGAAAGAATCACTAAATACACTGAGTATGCTTTGTTGCTATATAAATAAAAATGTAAGTTATATTGTTCATGCATTTTGGGAGAAACTAGTTCATTTGTATATTATGAACACCTTTCCATAAGGATTGTGCCCCTTCATGGAAGATTGCTTAGAAATAAGGCTTCAGAGCTATCTTCTTCTCTTTTATAATCTATTTATATCTATATATCTATATCTACATACAGATGTACAAAATCAATATATGTTTATTTAATGCCCGCTACATGTGATTCTTGTTACTTTGGAGGAATAAAAGACAAATTCATTCAATTTCTCTTCTCTGGAAGCTTATCTTGTAATACGGAGGTAAAACCTGTCCAAAATTAAGAGGAGAGGGAATTTCTTACATGTGGGAAATGAGGAATCCCTTCCTGGAGAAGGAAGTGATTTGAGTTGTGCTTCAAAGGCTAGGTGAGGTTTGGGTATCTGGAGATGGAGAAAGAGAGGATGGAAATGGTGGAAAGGTGGAAACAGCATGTGCAAAGGCATGGGAGGTAGATTAGTGACAAAGAGTCTTGTTTAGCAAGAGTTTCAAGTACAGATGAGAGAAGCAAAGGTGAGTTGGGGCCTAGTTCAAGGAAGGTCTTCAGGGATAGCCTGAGGAGTTCGGATTTTATTCTCTTTATAGGAGGACAGTGGCATGACCAGGGACATATAATTGGCACTACTCTGTCCAGGGAGAAATGTGGAACCAAGTGGAGAGATGTACAGGCAAAGAAAGACACAGAGCAGTAAGAGGCCAACAGCAGAGTCCAGGGGAGGAAAAAAATAGGGCCCTGAACTACAAAAAATAGTAATGAAAACGGAGAAGCAGGAAACACAAGAGTCATTTTTTTTGCTAGATAAGGGAAAATACTGGAAGAGATCCTGAGATTTTGAATTTAGGTTACTAGGAGAAGGGCTGATTAGACATTATGCAACATAAGGAACGTTAAAGACCGTGTGCTATGGAGCTTGCCATTGCTGCAAAAGCATTTTTTTCATCAGGCCGTGAGTGGCCACCATATGCAGCACTCTTCAAAGAGCAATCCTTGCCTTGAATATTATCTGGCAAGCACTTGAAGTAATGTAAAAGGCAACGGACCCATCTCTTTGAAGACAATTAAACATATAACGTAATCTAAATGCATTCTGTAGTTGGAATTGGCTATTACTGGCTATATGTTTGGGCTTATTTAAAAGGGTTTATTTGTTGCCAAAATTGCTTGAGAAGTCTCTTCTTTTTAACATCAGCCCTACAGTCCTATTTATTGTTTCCAGGCTTGGATCTGGACAAATTGGAGACTGAACTCAACCTAGTCCCAGGTCTCTAGAACTATTTTTGAGTAGACTGGGATTTTTTTAAATGTCCGTTTTGATAACAGAGGTAGACCTTTTATGCTTTTAGTCCAAATTGCACTTGAAAATTTGACATCCCCTAACTTTTTTATTCCATTTTTTTCCAGAATAAAAAATTCTTATTTCACTCAAGTTTAGCAAGACTCGAACTTCCATTTTTTGTTTTCTTTTTTTAATACAATCTTAGGGGGCTTTGCAAGCACTTATTTCTGTCTGTTCCTGGTACTTGTTAGCACCTTATTTCAGAATCAATAATAATGAGATGTTATTTAATGGTGCTCTGTATTAAACCCTTTACATACATTTTCTTTCTCACTGATTATCACAGCACAGCACTTTTCAGTCATGAAGAAATTCAGAATTCTTTTCATCAGATTCCTAGGATAGTACCTTGCCCAAAGTAGATACTCAGTAAAGATTCTATAGATTGATTCCAAAGTGAGGACAGGAGTTCACTGGGACCAGTCACAGAAGCTAGTGACAGAAAGAAAGCAAATCTACCCCATGTGTTTCTTCTACTGATCGAGATAGCGGTGTGCTTTACACAGGGAACACTCTCAGGCTTTCTGCTGCTTGTTTTATGGGAATGACTGGCATTTGCAGTGCTACTCATTTGCAAAATTTCTTATAGCATCAGAGATGTGAATGAATAAACAGCTGTGTGCACATGCTACAAGAGACATTCTACTTTCTAGTAAAGTAGCTCTTTTCTTTCTCGTAGATCTGTTCCCAGTTGAGTACCAGACTCGAGAAACAGCAAGCAGCCAGCAAGGAGGAGCTGGAAGTGGTAAAGGTGAGGAAGAATGAAACAGTCCTGTGATACACTTTCTTCCAAATTCATGTAGTCTTGAGTGAGCACCTGATAGGAGGATCCCAATATGTGGTGATGCACCACAGGCAGGACAGCCTGTAGACACGACCCCACCCCACCTTTGTTTTAAAGGAGTTAGGAATTAGGGTGAATAGGGTCCCTCTTCTGACTGGGGTGTGGGCCAGATGAAAGGTTATGTTCCCAGAAATCTTTTGGGCTGTCAGAGACAGGTAACAGGAAAGGAGGTAGGATTTCAGCATTGTCACAAGAGGCCCCTGAGCTTTCTTGGTTGTTGGAAACCTGGAAACCCGAGCCCTCAGCAGCCTGCATCCCAACTGTGCCTGAATTGATGTGACTTCATTGTGCAACCCAGTAGGATCATCCCATTAATCTCTTAAACAGTGGACACCATGGGCAGTATAGAACTCAGCTGGAGGAAACACATTGGGTAACTGATTTTTCCACCAAAAGTAGAGATTTGTTTTTAAAGAAAACATGCAGCATTTATTTCTATGCTGCCCCCTGGTGGTAAAACTCCTTATGCTGATTACCTGCTTGAAAAAAGTGATTGTTTATTGTATAGAAAAAGCAGTAAACCAAATGGATTGGTATTCCTAAGAAGCAGCGTTGGTATAGCCAGCTCTTGGGGCCAGTGTTACAGAAACCTGATATAATTCTATTTGAATATATTCAGCTTTATACTAGTAAATAAATGCATTCTAGGCACTTTCGTATATCACTTAACAACTTGACAAGTTATTTAACCTCTCTCAGATTTATTTTGTATTCTGTAAAATAGAGACAATATTACCTACCTCATAAGGTCATTTTGAAGATTAAATAAGATCCTGTTAATAAAGTACTTAGTCTAGTACTTGGCACACAATAAATGCTCAGTAAATACATATTTTAAAAGTTGTAACCTGAAAATCTGAGACATGAGAACTGAAAATAGGAACTTTGTTCTGAGAAGGTGACTTTTGGGGATTCAGGCCTGGGACACATGCTTGGACATATCAAGAGGAAGAATTTTATGACCAGCTGAATATGGAGTGAAGGAGAAGCTAATGGAAAGATGACACCAAAGTCTTTAGGCCTAAATGGTGGGGTAATGCACAGTGACACAGAAGTGTGGGCAGAGTTGCTTTGTGTGTGTGTGAAGAGATGGGTATAGTTACAGTTATGGACATGCTGAGCTTGTAACAGTAGGACATCAAAATAGATCAATTTTTTTTTTTTTTTTTTTTTTTTTTTTTTGCGATACGCGGGCCTCTCACTGTTGTGGCCTCTGGGAGCACAGGCTCCGGACGCGCAGGCCCAGCGGCCATGGCTCACGGGCCTAGCCGCTCCGCGACATGTGGGATCCTCCCAGACTGGGGCACGAACCGGTGTCCCCTGCATCGGCAGGCGGACTCTCAACCACTGTGCCACCAGGGAAACCCTGTAGTGTCTCTTATCTCTAAACTTTTTGAAGATATTTTAAGAAAACAGTAGCACTGTTGTCTTGAAAAGAGTTGCCATTGTTCAGTGCTCTGTGCTTGATTGGCAATCCAGGCATGTGGCAGAGTTGCTTTTATCACCTTGAACAGTAATGATCATCTTCACTTGAACAAAAGGACGTATACTTCACTTGTTGCAGGGGTAGACTTAGGTTAGTCATAATGACCTTCCTCAGTCTACCACAGGGAAGTTACTTAAACTCTTATTAAATTTCTTCATTTATAAAATGGGGGTGATAATACCTAATCATAACTAAATGAGGTAATGCATGTAGCATATATGCCACGGGGCTTGGCATCTAGTAAGGGTAATGGTAGTACAAAGTTTCTAGAAAAGATTTGAAAGAAATGCTATAATACTTTCTATCCCCAGAGTCTCTCTAGAGACACTGTAAGAAAAAGTAGCACCTGTCTTGGATAGTTGGGTTTTGTGCCGACTATAACTGTTTTGGTCATAGCACAAGAAAAATAGTTACTTTTATAAATGGGCCTGCATTTGATGGCCACAAGCAGTGTCTAAAGAAAAATCATATTGCATTGTTTCAGGACATGATTTATGCTATGAAATGCAGTTTGATGTTGGTTATCTCTTTTGGATATTTCAGGGCAAAATGATGGCATGTAAACACTGCAGTGACATTTTCAGCAAGGAGGGTGCTTTGAAAGTAGCAGCCATAAGCAGAGAGGACCAGGGAATTGAATTGGATGATGAGAAGGACTCTCTTAAGAAGCAACTGAGAGAGATGGAGCTGGAATTGGCACAAACCAAACTGCAGCTGGTGGAGGCCAAGTGTAAAATCCAGGTTGGTGATTTGATAAAAGATCAATTAAAAAAAATAAACAGTTAGTGGTCTAGGATAGTCTAGTACTGGAGAGTCGGCCTGTCGAGCTCAGAATCATATGATGTTACCATATAAGATGAATACATTTTCTGCCCACAAATGAGTTGCATTTTACATCATTTTTAAACACTGATATAAACACATAGTTTTAAATAAATTTTTAATAACTAAAACTATATATATCTTGTGAGAACTTAAGCATGTGCCTTTTTAGTTTACCCTGATATTTTTTGGCCATGGTCCTTTCCCATTGAACTTGGTCACTTAGCTGATCCTGAAAGTTGAAAGGCCAAACCCCTCCTGTTATCTTTCCCCTGACAGTTGAACGTTGGCTGACAGCCATTCTTTTCTTTCTTCGGAGCTTCTTTTCATCTTTACCTGATTTTGCCAAATCCCTTTCCCCATAATCTCTTTCCATATTGGAGGATATAGGAATTAGAAAAGCAGTCCTGGCTTCTGATGGACTGTTCCCACTTCCTTCTTACCAGTGACCCTCACCCTTGCCGTGCCCTGCCATGGCACCTGCTGCGCCACACTAATGATCTTGAACTCTTTCTGCTTCTGACCTTGTACGTCCTCAGGGGCACAGGCCATGTGTTTGGAACTAGAATTTATTCATGCTTACACTATCAGTAAAAATTCATTCCATCTGTATGTTTACGTTTACCTGTGGTTTTAAACATCTTCTCTTAGGCTGCAGCCTAAACCTAGATTTGGACCTAAATTGCCGGGGGAAAAAAGGGTAAAATGAGGTTTCATTTCACTGATCAGAGAAAGCACAGATTCTGGTTTTTAGTGGTAATTCTTTTAGCTCTAATTTTTTTTTCTTGCATTCAGAAGCCAACTAAATCTCACCTGGGTTTTGTAGGAAGAAAACTGCGGCTGTGTAGACCTGTGGATTCCAAAAAGCTATACTCTAACTTTTTTGGCAGAGAGAAGATATTTATGTAACTCAGATGATTTTCTTTCTTGAATTAGGAACTTGAACATCAGAGGGGAGCCCTTATGAATGAAATCCAAGCTGCAAAAAACTCTTGGTTTAGCAAAACCCTTAACTCTATCAAAACGGCCACGGGAACGCAGCCACTGCAGCCGCCACAGGCCACCCAGCCCCCCAAGGAGAGCACATAGGTCCAGCCTCACCCAAGTACAAGAGCACAACGATCAAAGCAACGGAAACCCAGGATGATTCCTGGTGTCCCTTTAAAAGGAAGGAAAGGAGGCCAGAAAGCAAGCCAGGATCTTTCAGTAGCTCTTACTCTTTCTTGTATGACACTTTTAAAAAAGGGATGTTATTTAAACTAACCTGATTTATGTCGAATACCTGTTTTTGTGCTTGTTCATGGAAGACTGTGTTCCGATCCATCATAGTATTACACATTATTTTACATGCCTGATGTTTGGTTGCAAATAAGTAATTCAGAACTAAATCCTTTTTATTTAGAACTAATTATTCATATTATTTTTATCTTACATAAAAATGAAGTTGTCTTTTATTCCAAGGTTGAAGTGATAGGCAGGTATTTGTCACAGCAAAAAAAAAAAAAAAAAAAAAAGATTGCAACCTAAACCTCTTAACTTTTCAGGATTTATTCAGATAAAGCACATTGTGGGGCCAGTCATGACCACTGTCAGGTTTCCTCCTGAAAGTGATGCCCAGGATAGCGATAATCCTATCCAAAGGAAAGAACAGACCTGGGATTGAACAGTTCCCCAAGACAGTTAGTTTATTTTTATTTTCTGTTGGGTACATCTGGAAATGAAGTGCCAAGAACCATGGGATAAGATAGGCTATTGAAAACACACACTAGATTAAAAGAACTGAGATTTTGGTAAATGCAGGATAAAATAAATCATTTTGGTCCTGGTCTTCTAACAGGTCCTTTTAAGAGCTCCACATGGGAATTGCGAGTTCCTAAGTAAGAACACAGTTGTGACTTGTGGCAAATGTAAAGTCAGAAGTGGATATTATGAGTTGCATCTTTAGGAAACCTTCACCAGAGAAGCCTAGAAAGGCCCAGGAACAGCTGTTGTGCTTAGAATGGAATGTAGAACCAGGGACAGAGTATTCATTTAATGTTGACATATACTTGCTAAGGAAACACTAATATTTTGTTAAAGTTATGAAATGGGAAATAGAAGTCAGCTTCATATCATCTTAGTTTAATATTAGGCAACTTTTTCTGATTTCTGTAGCTTCCTAAAAATGTGCCCTTGGTACCCCTAGATGAAGAGATGCAAATGCATTTGTAACATTTTTGATTGCATATACAACCTTTATAGAAATGCTTATTTCATGGAAAGGTAAAGCTATTGTTTAAAAGTTGATGGAAATATTTTTTTCAATTATATTTAACATGTCTTTATAAATAGTCCTTGCAGGAAATCCTTTGGTAAGGGAAAAACTAATTTTCCCATTTTTTAAGCTATTTTGGAGGGCTTTGGTCCTTTACAGCAACCAAACTACTGTCAGCTATGTATAGTAACATTTATTGATACTCATGCTTGGCTTCACTGTTGAACATATTCTTTGCAAAGTATCTCAAACTCTGTAGTGCCAGAGTGACTCTCATCTGTGCCATATGTTGCAGTTAAAAGTAACACACTCTTGGAAGTAAAAATCATCTAAGAGCCATCTCAACTCCAGGAGCATGTACTACAAGTTGCTCATGATGGATCCTTTCCTCTAAAATTATCATTAAACTCTAAAAAGTGAAATCCCTTTCATCGGTAAGTGTTCGTATCATCTACAGCCCATAAAACTGATGTGGTTGTTTGTTATCCTTCTTTACACTCATCAAATAATACTTTTCTTACAGAATTCTTTTTTTTTTTTTTTTTTTGTCGTGACATCTCTCATCATAGTTTTCATTTCCTTTCACCCAAAAGGAAAATAGCATTCTGAGTATCTGTGTTGACTTTAACATTCCCAACATCGTGGTTTAGAAAAATTAAATTTTTTTCCCTTTTTTTTTTTTTTTTTTTTTGCAGAATATAATGGCTAGAAAAATGCATCTTGGTACTTGTTTCTGTAAATCATTTAATACAATTTGTTAGCTTTACTGGTACTTTACGCTTTGATCCCAAGAAGCCTTGTACAAGTTGCCTTATCAGATGGCTAGCTAAATTAAAGATGTTCTTTTGTGTTTTGTGAATCTCATAATTCTATTGTACAGAGCTCTTTTTACATTTCACAGAATGCCTAAATTGCATAATTTTCCTTAAATGGTAGTTGAGAGAGAAATAGCTCTGGGTCCAGTTCTTATCTGTAGACCTGGCTCAATTTCATAGCTTATTACATTTTTTTTCTTTAAACAAAATAACTAGGTACACATATTCCAAACATTTAATAAATCTGTCTTTTTCATTTTCTTTTAACTCTTTTAAAAGATTACAATGGCCATCCATAGATTTTTTTTTTTTTTTCCTTCTCCAGTTCCATATCATACTTGGGTATGTGTATTGATTGGTACCATAGTCTAAACTGTCGCTCACTGCAATGTCTTTGGGTAAGTAGCAATAGCAAATACAGAAGGAAAGAAAATTCAAAAGTTGGTGTATGATATTATTCATACAATATTATAATAGCACTATCCCAGACCCCATGCCCTTCACCATGTGTTGTTTGAAAACTCATGATTCCAGCATTAAATAACTGCTAGTTTTAATTTCTCTTCTTTTGAAGTATAGTTGCAAATTGCTACTCTTCTCTTGATTTCTTTTAGAAAGAGATTGACCAGCTCAAATATCCAGGAAATTTTCCGATATTCTAGAGCGTTTTTCATCTTTTCCTAGCATACATTAGATAAAACATTCCTCCAAAAATCCAACATTTGCAACATTCTGAGAAGTGATGATTTCTCCTTTCATTAAATTCTGCAGAATAAATTAAGAGAATGAAATTCAATTGGATAATTCAGTCATTAGCTTTTATATCTTGAGAATCTTAACACATTTCCTTAAAGCTGAAAGAAACCAAGCTGAATTTTGCAGTGCATATGTTTGCTAGCTTCCCACATCCTGAGCCATGGCACAATTTGGTTATATTTAGTTACATACAATTTAATGCAAATAAATTCTCAGTTACCTAATGGTCTGTATATGAATGCCTATCAGAAACATTAATAGGAATGTCACATAGGCTTATGACCCTATCTTCTCATGAAACCAATAATTCTCTTCCTCTCTCCCAACTATTAAGTTAGTAATTTGTTCTTCATTGGCTTTCTTAAATTTCCATAATAAAGTAGAAAAGTAATGTTTGTACTGATGTTGGGGTATTTAATAGTATTTAACTTGTTTCATTGTTTTCAAAAATTCCATCCTCTTATACTATGTATTAATATTCATTTTTCTCAAACCCTCACTCCATTTTCTTAAAATACTTTCTAGTTAATAACTAGTAGCTTCATTTCCTACGTAAAGTAAGAAAAACAAGAGAATACACAGTTTAGGGCACAAGAGATGAGAGTTAGATCCTTAAAGGAATTGATTAGTTACTGAGGATAAGAATCACATACGTAACTAATGTAAGGGATTGAGTTTTCTTTTTCTTGAGCTGAAATCAGTCTACTCATTATTCTGCTAAGGTGGTTGTCTGATTTCAAGACCCTTTTAGGGAAGAAAATGCTTTCAAAAAATTAAATACCCTGTTTGTTTTATCTTTCTGGAAAAGAACACTTTTAATTACTTAGTAAGATTATTCTGTTGTATAATTTACTCTTAAAAAAAAAACCACTCTAAAGTAGCTCCGATTCTCTTGCTTCAATTACAGGTAAATGAGATCATGGACAAACTCTGTTGTTTGATTTGAATGCTGTGAGATTTGTGTGTGTGTGTGTGTGATCGGTAGAATTTTATATGGAGTATCCCTGCCTCTTTGGTGTACCCAGGTACCATGCAACTGAATATGTACGTGGCGATCAGATAGAGAAGGCCAGGCACAGCTCAGTGGCCTGTGTTTCCTACTACCAGATATATAAAACTCTTTCTCTCTAGTTGCCATGCTGATTGTCACATTGAACTGGAACTGCTCCAAAACATCCTTCCTCTCTCATAGTGGCTTCCATATAATACAGGCAAAGCCCTTAGGGATTTCCTTATCTTTCAAGAGCTACCAAAATGAATACTTCAGTGCAGGCTGCACCTCAATAGGAGATGATGATCTTGAGTTGTAAGGAGAAAAGTGGATGTTTATGAGTAGCTTAGTGACTACAGTCAGTTGTCAGAAGTCCCTTTCTTAGCTTCCATCTAAAAGACTACACGTCAAGCTTATCTCCAAATGTATTTGCTACCTGCTATAAAAACATGTTCATCAACACGTCCTACTCTCCCCACCTCCACCCCTGGTTTATCATTAGTGGTATTCTGAAAACGTTAAGAAAAAAGAATCATTGAGTAGAAGATTAATATTTTGAGTTACTTTCCTTTTTCATTGGCAATAAGTTAACATGTAAAATCTTTTCTGTTAAAATGTAACTTTTAATAACTATATATTATATATGGAATAAAATATAGGAAACTGAATGATAAGGACATAAACACATCAAGATTCTGGTGTCATGAAAGCACAAGAATAAAGCCTGGAAATGGCCCCAGAATCCAAGATCCCAATAGCCTTTGCATCAGTTTCTCTATTTTTGGTATTTTGCATCATGTATGAATCCTTAGTTCAAATAAGGAAGAAAGTTTCTCAGTCAGCCCCACGTCATTTCTTTCAACTCCTACCTTTCCCTTGCTGAGGAGGTAGTAGAAATTCTGTGCCATCTATTTTTATGAATTCTATGATTTTGCCCATGGCTTCTCCAGTGAAAACAGTCCAGAATAAAGGAGTTGATTAGCTCAAACAGTGCTAATTGACTACAAAAGAAATTAGTGAGCAGCCTCTCTCCTCTATCACCACTGACCAATTAGATGTTTCCATAATTCCATGTATTATGTATAGTACACTCTATCAATGTAAATGTAATGCTTGTTAAAAAAGTGCAATTTATTGTACATTGTCCCAACAAATGTTTACTTTTATAATTGTTATGAACTTGAATTGGATTAGTATCTTGTTTTCATGTGTGAATGAAGCCTTGTGAAATAAACAAATGCAACCGAGAAGGTAGCAAGATGACTGTTTTTGTGAGCCAGTGATGTTTTCAATGCTTTGTGTTGCTCCTTTGACCCCATTAAGCAGTAATAAACATTTGTTCTGAAATCCATATGGCTTTTTAATTTTTTTCTAGTTGATTTTATTCTGAATCATCTGAACCCAATGTTTGTGAAAAACTTATCTGACACTAGACGCTAGTCAATTGAGCAAGAAGAAATATACAGGAGTTTGCTCCAGGTTATACCCTGCAAAATGATATCCTGTACAGCAGGTACAGCCAAGTGCCCTGTATTCCTCTCTTTAATGATTCCTTGGTTGAAAGTAACAAACTCTCTTAAGCTAGCTTAATAATAATAAGGCAATTAATTAAAAGGAAAAAAAGTATATTTAGCTCATAGCTACCAAAGGCCAAACCATTGGGCCTGAAGAGGCATGGGGACAAGGGACTGGAATGCCATCAGGAACCTAAGCAATTGTTCTTATCATCGCTCTTCTGCTTGTCTTGCCAGGTGATGCTTATCTGCTGCTGCTTTCTCTGAAAAGAGGTATCCCCTGCTTCTAAGTGCACAACTTCCAAGTTTACATGTCCTCTCTTCAAGTGACCAGCAGAGATGGGCTGGCATCTCAGTGTCCCAGTTTCAAAATCTTGCAAAAATCTGATTGGCGGGCTTCCC